CTTGAAAAGACAAGATGTATAACTAATCCGTCCTGTCCCTATCTCCTTTTTTATCCTGTCTGACTCTCAAGGGCTGGGAAGGGTCAGGCCGGGCCGGAGCGGTCGTAATTAACACACTACTTTGTACAAATTATTTTTTTTGGTACCCAAAATTATTTTTCTTATAATTTAGTACCTAAAATTTATTTTTTACAAATAAGTCCATAATTTTTTATGGTGACATTACGTTTTGGTACCTATTTTTTTATTTTTACAAGTTAGTACCTAAACTTTTAAAACTTTACAAAGAGGTCCAATGTGGTATGAGATATTTGTTGTTGCTAAGGGTCACAGGGTCAAAAACTGACTCGTCCCTAAGTTGTCCCTACACGTCCCGACCCTTACAGGGTCAACAAATGACGCATACCTAAATTCCTGGCTCCGTCCCTGCCTGGAGATAGTTTGGATTTGGAGGATAGGAGCCGGAAATATGGGTGGTAGGTGGAGGTTCGGCGAGCTAGGAGTCGGAGATGGCGAGCTCTGCGTGCAACTCGCAGCGCCTCTGCTACTGCTAGGTGGAGGAAGAACGAAATTGTAACTAGGGGTTGCTGGGATCGACGATTAGAGTTTTGCGTTTTGATATTAGGACAGATAATTAACATTGCTATAATTAAATGTGTGATTTATAAATGAAAAAATCCTAGCTGAGATGGTGAGATTGCTCATTGTTAACGATTGGATCAGTGGTTCCATTCCTACATGGCACTACATGCACCCCCCTCAATTGTGCTTTGTGCATAGCTCCGCCACTGAGGACGGGTCAGGATCACTCCTAACCACTAGATCAAACCGTTATTCGATTAAAACTCATTGACTGAACTTGATTCAACAGGCTACATGCATGGTGGCCGCTGAATTAAACTACTGTAATGTGGAGGAGAACATAGTCCTTAAATGACCAGAACTACCTAAGCTAGCTAGTGTATAACGATCAACGTAACTCCCACCTTACAATCATGTGAAACCTCTTACCTATGGGTAATGTTGTCAACAAACAAACAGACAAGCTTTCCTTTCAGGAAAGCAGAAAACAGTGAAACAAAGCGTATTGCAGTACAAACCTTCTGCAGCAAGTCCAGAGAGAGAGAGAGAGGGCATAGATTCCATTGAGAATATTCCAATTGCCCACCAACAAAGGACATTGCATGTGATTTTGAACTTCGGTAATTAGTATACAATTAGTGGCTACTACGGGACATTGCACAATGGAAATGTCCTAAGGACCGAAAAAGGAAATAATTCGAGTAATAGTATCAAATGGTTTGTGTCATGGTACGTAACGTTTATTATATCGGTAGATTGAAGATATATTATGTAATCATGGGCTGCAGGTTATATATATGCCCCTTGTTTTTATGAGTAACGTTGGAGGGTTAATTGTCTTTATAAGCTTAGTTTATATTGTATAAGGTTTGACGAATTCAAACCCTAAAACTCAGGCACTGAGTTATGAATTCTGCAGATGTTCACGGTTTGCGATTCTGAGTTCCTAACAAATATTATTTGTTTTAGAAGATTCAACCACGAGATATCTGAATCAAATACTCATAGAAACAATTTATCTAAATAACTTTAACTATTTGCACCAACTCATCAAATAAAAGATGCGATTGACTAGCAATAGCCACCGTTCCTCTCCCAAGCAAAACAAAAGCCACCTAACTACCAAAGAGGAATCTTGTAGCTTCCGATCGAGTTATGAATTCCCACCCACGTTCAAAAAGGTTAAAGCTATGGAGTCAATCACTTTCAATGGTAGCCCCTCATCGACCGCATAATCAAAGGCACGAAGCTTGGGTGATGATCAGATCAATAATGGCCGCTTACTTGCCGTCCAAATGTTGGGGCCGTAGAACAGAAAAGGGTGTTTGCTTGGTCACTCGATCGTGAATATTCTCAAAAGATCCAAGAAGTCATGTTGCTTTAATTTGTTCAATTTTGATTAGCTTCCTAAAATCGATTAGGGTTATAGTTGGACCATGAATTGCGGTCGTCCATTGGACATTTGTAAGCTTAATTCAAAGCATGCAATTCAGGACTCTAATTGTGAAGATTAAGGAGCTAGGGAATGGATACTTATTGCTCACCCTACCCTTTTGTATGTGATTATCATTATAGAGAAGGGACTTATATCTAACCTAATTAATGATCAAACGTTTGTATGAACTAGCAAGAGGGGCCTGAAACTTGCTTGGGCTCATCTATCTTGGTTGCCAACTTGTATGTCTACTCAAGAGTATAAAATCAGTTGTTTCTCGGTGGAAACTTTTTCCGATGTTTATTGAATGGATATACTTTCGACTTCTGGAAATTAATGCGGAAGTTATTTGGGTTCACACTTCTTCAAACTATATTCGAACGAGGAGTATGAACGTCCTAACCAAGATGGTCAAAATTCAACAAGCTAACAATTTGGAGCTAGCTGGGACCGATTTTGGGCCGGGCCTAAAATACCTCTCAATGCAGTCTCGGACTAAATTGCTCAATGCGGGCCTTCGCCTGCATGCATGCGTTGCTTTCTTCCTTTGATAATTCCTCTCTGCTCGGGCCTCCGTCCGTGCGACCGGGCCACTAGCCCAAGCGGGAGAAAAGATACTTGTTTTGCCCACATGTATATCTAGTAGCTTGCCTACAGCCCAAGAGTAACCATGGGCCACTGCTAAATTGGGTGACACCTCTTCCTCTAGTACTCTAGCACAATAATGTTTGATCCATGCAAGAAATACATAGTAACCTCTATCCTCTCTGATCCCGTGAGTAAATGCAATGTCGAGATTAGGATGGCAACAAAAATCCGAACCAACGGGTACACTATCCGACTCAGCCCTGTCAAGGTGGGGTTTCGGGTTGGGTTTGGTTTAAACCCGTACACTATCCATCAGGTTGGGTTTGGGTTTAGGGGTACCCGACCCATGGATACCCGCCCACACTTATTTCGTCGCCCTACTCTCCCCAAACCCTACCCTAATTCTAATTTCCTCAAATTTAACTCTCACTACACTTTTTCCATGTGATTTTATTTGGGTTAATTGCAAGATTGGTCACTGGGTTTACTAAAAACGTTTATGTTTGGTCACTTCAAATATTTAATTCCTTTCATGGTCACTAAGAATCTAAGATTAGTTCAATAGTTTAAGTTTGGTCACTCTCCGTTAGTTTTTGCTGATGTGGCAGTAAACTATTATAGTTGACCGTTACATGAGTGACGTGGCCATTAAAATAATCAAATTTAAATATTTACACTTTCCACCTCATTTTACAACTACTAAAAAATAAAAATAAAACTTAATAGATGACCTCCGTCATCTACGCCACCACGATTCTGATCCATGGTGTCGAATCTCCCCGGCTTTGGCGATCTTGAGGCGATTCTCAGGCTTGTTCTTGGCGAGCAACCTGATCTCCATGGCGGAATTCGGATAACGAATCAGGTGGGTATCGATCACGGTGCCCCGAAATTGAAGAGAGAGAGAGAGAGAGAGAGTTGTTAATGACGCGATCATCTCCGTCGCCGTCGCGGAGACTAGTAGTGGTAGTGGTCGCCATTTGGAAGTGAGCGGCGCCGGGGCCGGTCTTGTTCACCTCTTCCTCTGGATAGGGCTGGTGAGGGAGGGAATAAAAGGGAGAATGTCCGGCGGGTGAGTAATCGGAAGGAGGCAGAGAGAAATCGAAGGAGGAGGGATCAGAATCGCGGTGGCGTAGATGGCGGAGGCCATTTATTAAGTTTTATTTTTATTTTTTAATAGTTGTAAAATGAGGTGGAAATTATAAATATTTAAATTTTATTATTTTAATATTTTTTTAATGGTCGCGTCACTCATTTAACGGTCAACTATAATAGTTGACTGCCACATCAGCAAAAACTAACGGAGAGTGACCAAACTTGAACTAATCTTAGTGACCATGGATAGAATTAAATATCTGGAGTGACCAAACATGAGCGTTTTTAGTAAACTCAGTGACCAACCTTGTAATTAATCCGATTTTATTTAGTGTAATTGTGATATTTTGAATTTTCTAGAATGGTGTTTTATGTATGGATAATTTGTATGGGAAATTGACGTTTGAAGATTATATAAGTGTTCTTGATGCAATGGATCCTTGTTTACCTTGTTTCGATTGATGCGAATTACAGACCTATTAATATATGGATATTATTGTGTAATCCATAATCGATATAAACGGGATTGATCGACCGACGCGTGGCTTTCACGTCCCGTCGTGAAAATTTTCTAATGTTGTGATGTGTCCGCGAAATTTAACACGTGAAAAATGAGATTTACCTGTATCATGATGTAATGATGTAGTTTTTTTTAATACTGAATCAATCGTACATGTATCTAACCTCACTATGCAAAATTCTATTTACCTTATTTAAATTGATTTGAATTACATACACATTTTATCGTGTCATCCGTAACGGATAACTCCTTATTATACACTCCCTCATCTTAAAAATAGTTCAAATTCGTTTTTTTTTTTAATTAAGGGTTTGGACTTTGGAGTGCGGTTGTCCTAATCCTAGAACGTAAAACTCAATTAATCAGAACTTAATTGAATGTTAATGGAGGCGTAAGACCTAATCCTATTTTTAAAGACGCAAAACGGAACATATATCGGCTGCCGAGTCCGTGTCACAGCTGCCTCACCTCCGAGTCAGGTGGTGCCCCAAGTTGACAGCCACCGGAATAGCCGGTAATAAACAAAGGCGTTAGATAGCCCTCTTCCCGCTTCTTCCGCCGAAACCTCCACGTGTCCCATCTTATCCACTCCTTCCCGTTTCCCTTCCTTTTTCTCTTTCCCCCACTTCCTTCAAATACGCCCCCACCACCTCCCTTTCCAACTGTCATAAAAATCCCCCCCACGCCATTATCACCGACCTCCGTCTCCCAACAAAGCTTCCTTTCCTACTCTCCGATCGCCGGATTCTGGAAAGCTCTAATCTCCTTCAGATCAAACAAATGGCCGCCAATCTCCTTCCTCTCAGACCCGCCGTCGTCTGCTCCTCGTCCAGCTTGGAGCCAAACAACCCCCGGAGAATTCCCTCCTCCTCCGCCTCGCCGAAATGGTGGTCCCCGCTCTTCGGATGGTCCTCCGAGCCGGACTACGTCGGGACTTCGGAGATCCAGCCGGCCGACGGCGACCAGAACAAGAATCGGGCGGATCTGGAGTCCAAGCAGGCCAGATCTCGGTTTTCCCCGGGCTGCTTCACCGCCGAGAAGGCCAAGCAGCTCCGCATGATGACATCAGGAGCGTCGTCGCACCACGACGTGATGTACCACTCCGCCATCGCCTCCCGCCTCGCCTCCGACTTCAAGAAGAACGACAACAGCTCCGCCGCCGCCGCCGACCGGTAGCTTCCGGCCGATCTATTAATTTGCCCTCACGCTTTTTTTGCTCCTTCTCGTGTGTAATCGATCCGTTTCCTAGATCCGTCTTTAATTTCTTAGATTTGTAAGATCATTTTCTTTCGTTTTTTTTTTCTCGCTTTTGCGCTGCGTCGTTGGCCGGCTCCGTCCGTCAGCCAGTCAGTCCGTCCGTCCATAAATTTTAGTTTGGAGGCAGAAAAGCGTGGGATGATTCCGGTGACTTCTTCTTCTTCGTCTTCTAGGGTTTAATGTTTGTTTGATTAGTTCCTTGTTTGTAACAGACGAATTAACTAGCTTCTTCTGTAAAGCAGTCGATGAAAAAACAAAGATTAGTGTCCGTCATCATGTTCTTTAATTTCGTATGCTGTTTCAACTATTTTCCGGCGGATCTGTGCCGCCGGTTCCGCCATGGAAGCGGTTGGGTTTGGAACTTTGCATTTACCATTTTCCGGCTGAATGGTTCGGTTTACGATCTCATCTGATTTGCCGTCTGATTAATTAGAGCACTGTTTGATAAACAATGCCGTGCCGTGCCTTCCTCATACAAATTCGGGCCCACTTTCCACTAATTGGATCATTAGCTTCAAGATCCAATAATTCATCGGTTTTTATTAGCTTAATCGTGGATTTATATATGAAATTAATGTCAAATGATGTATTTAATCACAATTAAGCCGCCCGAGGATATTGATTCTGGTATCTGGCCAGCTAGACTGAAGAATATGCTCTGCTCTATATTAGATATTTTATTATTTTCTGTTATTTTTTACATACAAGATTTGGATTTAAGTTAACGATGAAATTTTTTCTGCCGAACAGAGTTCCCTTCAAATTGGAATTTATGCAAAATTAGATGATTAAATCGAATCCTATGAAATTCCCCATCGGTCTAGTGATAATATCACTAATTTTGAACCTTGAGAATTTTGAGGTTTTAGATTCGAATTCTTAACGTAGTATATAATATAGCCACAACAAAATAAAATTAATATCACCTTTACTAAAAAAAATAAAATCAGTGTAAACCTTACCATATGAAATAGTTGAATGAACATTAAACTACAACTTAAACAGAAAATATTATATCATTGACTTACGGACCAAAATTTGGTTCCGGTGACAATTCAATCACTATAGTTCCCAAAATGCGGCTAATTGATGCCTCGACTATATTCTATATTCTTTTCCTACGTTCTAACTATAGTGATAGACAGAAAAAATGGGTGGATTTGGCCGGTAGCAGAGCAGCCGGCGGGGGGAATTGTGGTGACGGAAATTGCCGGGAAGAAGGAATGAATGAAACCAAAGTCCTGGACCGACGGCGACGGGGTTTCGTACTTTGTGTTGGAAATTTCGAGGGTTTTCAAAGGGCTAATCAGGACAAGCAAACATTGATTGTCAAGAATTGACAGAAAGAGAGAAGCAGCGGTTTCTCATGAACGTGTTTCCGTCGGTATGAAAAAAGCGCAGAAAATTCCAAACGGTGGTGGTGGTTCTGGCTCGGCCAAAAGGTTGTGGTGGTTGGGTGGGTGGCGCCATGCTCACCGTCAAATTGCGCGCTTTCTGGTGTTTTGTTTTCTTTCTTCCAACTTGTGAGCAACACATGAAACAAATGCCAGAGGCAGCATCCTACTGCGTCGCACAATCAAAGGTTTCGGCTGGAGATTTCCTTGATGCAGACAGACATTAGAATCAAGTCGTATGATGGTAACGGCACATGTCTACAATCATCCATCAACCATCATCTGGAACCAAACCCTTGATGAAAATGGTAGGTCTCAGCGTTTTGAGGAGTTGTTTTTTTACCTGTTCATGGACTAGCAAGTCTATGTCACAGCAAAATGTGGGACTCTATTAGTATCTCTAGTATTATTTTCGACACGTATATGGCACCGAATTACAACTCAGAATTCATCAGGCTACAAAACTATCCGCGAGAATACAACAGTATCAAATTCAACAAACCAATTTGGTGTGTAAAATGGGACTCAGGAACCAGGCTCCTCCATGCTGTCTTTCGATCTTCACTTGCTCTCGGCGTCGTATAAATCGGTCCTGGAAAATTGATTATCAAGGAACACTGATAGCAGATATGTGAAGAAAGGGAGACCAACTTGTTCAGTCATCACAAAAATGTAGGTATACAAGTAGAACATTTTATAACATCAAATTGATTGTTTCCCTCTTCTGGTCCAGTTCTCATCCCTAGTGTTTTGCTAATAGCTCGCCGGAATCGCCCCTGGTTATTTCTAGGTCAACAATGACAAATTGGACAAGTAATGGCAGGCTCAACATATCTCGGCATGGGTTATATGACTGTAGGAGATTCGACAAGGACCAAGCACAAAGTTTCAGCAATATGAACAAGCCAGGGAGCAGAGATTTAACTGTGTTAACTAAAAAGGGTCATGATGGAAAAAGGAAAACACAAGGTACCAGTTGGAACAGGCTAACCGAAAGCAGATTGACCCAACCTGCAGACACTGAGAGATCCTAAAACCTATGAAACCTTCTATTGTACCATAACTTAAACTGAAAGGGATGAACCTCAAATGATTTAGATGCTAAGTGGATTGACTCAGCAGGAGAATCAAATCCACAAGACACCAGATCATTATCTATTGTACATGGTCTCTCCAGTTTCAATATGCCACTTGCAAAGGCAGAGGATACACAAACAATTGTGGGGTAAGAGAGCTTTATGTTCTCAACTTCAAGTAGCATGGAGGCACAAGTATAGAATGATGCAAACAACAGCAAACATCAAGATCTAGACTCTCAAGAAGACGCTGAAAAGACTAATGAAAACTCTTTTAGACAATTTTTCCCCTATAAGAAATTGCAAAGAGAGGGGAAAAGAACAAACTATGCTTAGTGTAGCATATTTCCTCCTCTGCGTATTTAAACCAGCAATCATTCGCAGTTAAACATATGTTCCCACTATGATCAACATAATTACCAGTGAAAAAAGTTTTTATCAACTATCTATATCTATATATCCATCTGTCTCGCTTTGCAGCTACAGTCACAAAAGGCTGTATATTAGAAACAAACTAGCTAGATGAGACCCATTATAAGATTTTGTTAAGGAAGTAATGTCATACACAGCTAAGGAGACAATAACATTCCACCAAGAAGCCTAATTTTACAATGCCTGGCAAACTAGAAACTACCAAGGCCAATATATGTCCAAATCCTAGTGGAGGATGCTGCAACAAAAGTTCTAAGACATAAGGGAATCAGAATCTACTTGTAGCCATTGCAAGATAACCACTCTTTCAAAAAACATATGCAAGGTGCAGATTGATTGATCGTCTCAGGTGTAACCCAACAAGCATGCCCACATAAAAATAAGAAAAGGAATCAATTGATAGGAGCAGGTAAATATCAAACCATAATTTAATTGTCAAGGGAGAAAAAGGATACACCAAGTAACCACCATGAATAAAGGCACCAGCCAACACAGCAGTGAACAGCCTGTCCCTCAGGACCGGATTCCTACGCAGCGATAGTCGAACTGAAAAAGCAATAAAAGACCGGATTCGCCATCGGTACTAAAATCCCAATCAACAGAATCGGAAAAAAGCGTCGAAATTTCAACGCTAACGGATACGGGAATAGCTTACTTAGTGGAAGAACTGGAGCATAGATGAGCGGAATCAAGAACTTGAACGGAGTCTTCGGCTTCCTAGCGACAGCCGCCCTGCACCCGCGCCACATCCATTCTCAGCCGGAGTTTCATGGGATTATACAATTGAACGCTAGAAGGTGGATTTGAATACTAAAGGAACTTACTGGTTGGTGGGATCAGCCGCGGAGGACATTTTCGATTACAGGTCGCAAGCAGGAAGCGCTTGAGCTGAAGATCCGTCACAGATTTGCTGCTGGAGAAGAAGAAAGAACAAAACTCCGACTAATCAATTTTCTTGTCCCAACTTAACGAAGAGTCTGCTTTGGCGTTCAATGGGCTCACTACTGGGCCCGTCCCTTTGATGGGCTTTTACAACTTAGTCCATGAACAAAACGGCCTACCTTTCTACGGATTGATTTCAAAAAGCGCTGAAAAATCGAAATTTTTAATCGGACGGCTCTGGACGAGCCGAGTATATTCTATTTAAAAAAAAAGTCATTTCTTGTAATCGAATCCAACGGCCCAGGTAGTTGCTTGATTTTAAAGCAGTGCTGCATCTTCAAGCTACGCTGCCGAGGTTGAACCCTATATAAACCTTCTTCCGAAATTCATAGCTTCGCCGTCTTCAATTCACTGCTCTCTCTGCCTCCTTCCAGCGCTCCTTCCGAAACCCTTGGTTCTCGAGGCTTCGTCCACGCATCTCCGGCGAGAATGGTACGTCTCCGATTCCTTTGAGGTCCCATTTGTTTAGTATTCTCTCCGATTTCGTTTCCGGTCCCGTCATTGCGAATTTTAGCTGCTTTGCTAGGGCTTTTGGTTCGTTCGTTTGTCATGTATGTAATCGGAGGTTTCGTGATTAGGTTTCGCTGATTTGTTGTTTTTTCTCCCTCCTTTGGGCTCTGTATATAGGCTCTGCCGAACCAGCAGCAAGTTGATTACCCGAGCTTCAAGCTCGTTATCGTTGGCGATGGAGGCACTGGTAAATTTCCTACCTTTCTTTCTTCTCGTTTGTTGTTTGATTTTCGTCCATCGTGCTATGCTGATTAGTTCGTGTTTGTAGTGCTTTTCTAAGATCTCTCCTGTTTGGGATTTATTGTTTAGGTGTCCGTGTTAAAGGAAGGGTAGTAATGCTAGGCCCTTGGATTGGATCTCACTGTGTGTTAATTTTTCTGGTGTACGCCATTAGTGATCAGTGGTTATTAGGTTTATTGACAAGATGTTGTCTTGGTGATGTTGCAGGGAAAACCACATTCGTCAAGAGACATCTTACTGGAGAGTTTGAGAAGAAATATGAACGTGGGTGTTTGGTTAAATTGGGTTTTGATTTGAGCACTATCTCTCAGTCTGAGTTTTAGTTAAATTGAATTTCGTGTTGATTTTGCAGCAACCATTGGTGTGGAAGTTCATCCATTGGATTTCACCACTAACTGTGGAAAGATCAGGTTCTACTGCTGGGACACAGCTGGGCAAGAGAAATTTGGCGGTCTTAGAGATGGATACTAGTAAGTGGGGATCGTGTGTTGTATAATAGCATTGTGAAATGAATTGATGAATGTAGATGAACCGTCGTGCATGAACTAGTAGTTGGTTGGCTTATGTTTAGCAGCTCCTTCATTATTTTTTTCTCTTAGCAGTGTTTGCTTCTCCATTCTTCAGCCTATGCTCGAGTTTAGAAGTTGTTGTTGCCTCTTGCATTGCTATCCTTGTATCCTCTGTATATTCTTTTGCTGTCATATATTGCTTGGTGATGTTGTTCGTATGTTTGCTGCTTTCATTAGATGGTCGTGGTAAAGTATATATACACAGAGCTCAGGGGTTTCTTTTGGTTAAGAGTAAAGTGAATTATTCAGAGCATTGATGCTGTTAGTGTCATTACATAGTATATTGCAGTTTCAAGTCCCTTACGTGAGCTGTAGATTAAGTATCATTGCTTCAATTCTCTGATTCTTCTGTCGTCTCTGTGGATATTGTCCTGTTTTGTTCCGTCTTTAAATAATGTATATATATTGGTTTGATTTTTTGACCAACTTTTGGTATCCCATAATGCAGCATCCATGGTCAATGCGCTATTATCATGTTTGATGTTACAGCTCGATTGACGTACAAGAATGTTCCTACATGGCATCGTGATCTCTGCAGGTGTGTTGCTATGTATTTACATCTTCACCTCTGCACGATTAGTTTAGGTTTGAATTGTGACATCCTTTTCACTTATCTTACAAAGGCCAGATGTTAACCAATTTCTTTGTTCTCAGGGTGTGTGAAAATATACCCATAGTTCTGTGCGGAAACAAGGTTGATGTAAAGAACAGGCAGGTGAAGGCCAAGCAGGTTACTTTCCACAGGAAGAAGAACCTACAGTACTATGAAATTTCTGCCAAGAGCAACTACAATTTCGAGAAACCTTTCCTGTACCTTGCCCGCAAGCTTGCTGGGTAATTTCAACACTGTTACAGATGCATACTTGCAATCCATTGCTGCTTTTGATCAATCCTAAAACTGATGATATACATTACTGGATTTAGGGATCCCAATCTTCACTTTGTTGAGGCCGTTGCTCTTCGACCCCCAGAAGTACAAATTGACATGGCTACGCAGCAACAGTAAGCCTCCTAATACATGTCTATAATTCATTGATTTGTCTGGTCAGATTTCTAACTGCGATGGCTGATGCAAATTGTTTTCTGATGTGCAGACATGAAGCTGAACTTGCCCAAGCTGCTAACCAGCCTCTTCCTGATGACGATGATGATGCATTCGATTAGAGCGGTGTATTGTGAAAAGCTGGATCCCCTTGTGCAGGTTCTCTGGCACTATGTTATGGTCATCTCCAGAGTTTTCTCTCTTCATGATGGGATGTGCCCATTTGTTGCTGTTATGAGAACCTTTTGAAAGACTCTAGTCATGGGGGAATTCGGGTTGAGGAGGTTGTGCACTTTTTCTCTATAGTAGAGTGGGATTTGTGCTTTGGTTTGTGATGGATGTTTGATTGGGAACCTTGAGTTCTTGGAACTGGTATAATTGGGAAGACGGGAGTGTTTTGAGATATATTTTCCTGCGCGTTTCTCAGCCTCGTATTAATCTGGATCTGTTCCCAATGGGCCTGGCCTGGTTACTGACGGACTTATTGTCTCTTCTTCCTCAATTGGATATTGGCCTGGATTTTTGCCCGTTCCTATTTATGGGCTCCATTGTTGGGCTGGAAGAAAGCGACCTCACATCTGCAACCACATTCAACCATCTTCCCACAACACCCCCTCGGCCCCTCTTGCTAGGCAATATCGATGCAGCCGTCGAGAAGGCCTACAACGAACTAGAAGTAATACCATACCAGCAATCCAATTCTGTGTTCGAATCACGACGAGTCATTTTGTAGGTCTAACGATACAATACAATGACGAGACTCGCGCTCCATATTCGGACATTCATGACATGTGATGTGAAAGCCATAGGAGTGAGTATATGGCAACCTTAAGTACCGATTCCAAAAAAAAAAAAAAGGGGGGGGGACAGATACAAACACAAACAGAGAAACAGATCACTAAGCCACTTAGTGATATCCACCACCCAACTTGCCCTGTGTCTCTGGAACAGGATATACTTATCCCCTCCATTCTTGGAACCACTTCTTCCCATCTGTCCCTTTCCATGCCGACTCGTTGCTACCCTCCTGCCAGTTTCTTCACTGCACCCTAACAAGGCCGGAGGAAGAAACAAGGCAGTGGCTAGGCTAGGCTGCATGTTAACAACATTGTGGGGGCTTTTGATCTATATTGTAGGACACTGTCCCTTCCCTTGAGTGTTTTCAGGTGGTAAATTGAATTGCCCCTAAAAAAAGCCCCACAGCGAGGTGGGTTCTGGATGGTCGGAGTGGATTGAGTTCTTTTGAATTGGGTTTGTCTTTGGGCTTTTAAGGGTTGCGGGGCAGTGAGAGTGTGTAGGGCTTTGCCCTTCTGGAGGGACAGCCCCGGGAGCCATTTTCCCTACACAAGTTTTAAAAGCCATCCTTTGTCGTTAAACGCGTGGATGGATTTGTGCGGATTTTCAAGTAAAAAAAAAAAACCTTATTAGTTTTAAAAACACACATACAATGCAATATGACTTTCCATTGTTCACCAGATTATTGAGATATATAAACAATATAATTATTATGTATCTTAACTACAGTGTTGAAACAATGTGTGACACGTGTGCAATCATTTTTAACTATCGCCCTCGTCGACGCTGCTACATTAAATGGTAAATACAAAGTTACAAACCATTTAAACCAAAATTTTAATCTTACAATACTCAAAAGCACATTAACCACCATAGATCGATTGGGATACTCGACTTCCGTGAGTCTTCACCACATACGTTGCGGCATTGCCAACCTCATCAATGAAGCGAACAGGAGTCGCTGACGCGAGATAAATTTAATGTCCAGTCTGAAAATGATTCGCTGAGTCGGATTTTTTAGCAGCCACCCTTACCTATTGTATTTGTAGAATCGTCGATAACCCGTGAAAACAAATCTCTTTCTCTCCTACTCTCCCAATAGTAAATGCACATTTGTGCTCGAAGGTTCAACTTTCTTATTCCCCTATCCACCCCTCTCGCTCGGTGGGGGCTCACTCTTCTGCGAATTGCTGCTCATTTTCTTGTCGACTGTCTTTGGATTTTCCCAAGAGCATTGACTTACATCTATCTGAATATGTTCCATAATTCGGTAATCATGAAAAATTATAAATATTAAATTTGCTGAAAATTCAGTAAGGATCAGACTGTACTGGTGACTGGTGAGGCCTTTCTTAATAATGATTATTATGACAAGAAGTTGAAAATAATTAAGATATAGAGAAGAAGAAGTAATGGGAAGATTGTGACATATCGTCACATGGCTCCCATCATGTGAAGATACGAAAAACCATATGTTCATGCTTCTCTATTCATTCACTCAATTAAATTCCATGCCTCCTCTTTGAACCCAAAACAAGGATTGAAAAGAAGGACCCATCTCCTGAAGAACAAATGAGAAGGAAGCAGTTGATGTTGAAGCTGGTAGGACCATGAATCGTGACACGATAGTGGATCGAATATACGAGACTAATCGATTCATAGATACGCGATAACAGAATCAGTTGAACGATTGTTATAACATCGTGACGATAAAATGGATTAAGTTTGGTCTCTTAAACATAATTTAAACGATACAACGGATGTGGAGACATTACGAATTGGATAGAAGACCCGTGAAAAGGGAGATGGGGAAAACACAAAAGAACAGATACAAGATCGGAACACAACTTTTTATTTTTGTGTGGAATTGGGAGGGAAAATAAAGGTGGGGGAGAGGGCATAAATTGGAAGGGAAGATGGAAAGCTAAGTATCCTTGTCTATGATCCCCCAACTTTTTCCACATATGTTCAAATACTCTGAATGTGCATTAATGCCTACATATAACCTATACCTAAGCTAGTTTCTCCATAAGTACATCCATCTCTCCTTGATCCCATGGGGACTTCTCAATCCATAACCCTTCAAAACATTTGGGACCCTTACTTATCTTTTTCGAATACACGTCAAATTATACGCTCTAATTTAAATAACGATTCATCGTGTGATACGTTCTTAAAAATCGATCGTATAAGAATATATCAGACCGAGTCAACCGACCGAGATACTATTTCGCGAAATGATGGGAGCATATGGGGTGTGTTTTCATGTCGGCTAAACTGTACTACTATGCAATAATAATGAGTTGACAAGCAACGAGTATGGATTTGGCGGCTGGCAGAAGCTAAATATTTTGTGCTTGAGGGGTTTCTCTTCTCTTGTTCCATTTTCCTTTCTCAATTGGAATAACAGAGTGGTGGGGCTTTTCCGAATTCCCATCGTATGAAAACGTTCCATGTGGAAGGAAATCGATCGATGATTGCATGTAAGAGATATATAGAGGGGACATGAAAACTGAGATTACTACTGTCCTTCAATTCGAGCAATGTTCACGCAACAGCATGAATTTGGAAAGAGTTCATGGCCGGCCGCCGGCCGGCGATGATCGATCATCATCATGATGCACTTTGGAAGCATTATATTATAGCTAGCTAGGTCGACAAGCATAGGATTCAATCTTCTAAGTACATTGCGACATACATCATGCAACTATTTAAAGCAAATATCAGTACCACCCCAACTCTTCTACACCAATCAACACAAATCTTCACCGAGATAGATCCGAGTCGGGGTGGATAAAATATCACAATCTAAGATGCAACTTAGATATAAAACGTATCTCTCCTCTCTTGTTCAACAAGAAAAAAACAAATCTCATATTAGGGACAATGTATGAACACGAAATCATATGAGACGCAACTGTCATAAACCAATTGGTTTTTATAACTCGGGTTATTGGGATCATTTGGTTTTTTACATGATATCAGAGCTTTCAATCAGTAAGAAGTCTTGTGTTAAGAATTCCAACGATCCTTATTTGTTAAGTACATGGTATGATGAACATGTGCAAACTTCAACCCATATGAGTTGGCTTCCATTTGAGGGGTCGTGTTAGTAAATGATATAAATCCATAATTGAACATCTATTAAGAACTCGAGTTATATGTTCATGCATAGAGAGAGTTATTGGAAAAGGCCCATCTTTACACACCCGTCAAACAAAAACCAAATCATGGGTTTGAAATTTGCACAGAACTATCATACCATGTGCTTTAAGATCAGGGTTAATATTAACAGTAGTAAGGATTTGAACACTTGACCACATAAACAAACCAATTCCAGCCAAAGGTCACATAGCCTGGTGGTAAGGGAGGAGGACTGGCGACCATAAGGTCCCAGGTTCGATCCTCACCGCCACCATGGTGTTCCCGGAGGCATCCCGCTATCACCCGGACCGCCGGCGGAGGTCCCGGGGTTTAGCCTGACTACGGCATCACAAAATGTGGTGACCGTGGAGGGTGTTCCTCGTTATCAAAAAAAAAAAAAAAAAAAAAAAACCAATTCCAATACCATATAAAAAACCTATTGGTTCCTATAATTCAAATTGTTAAGAAAGATCAATGGAACTCCAATTATTAAAAAATTTCCATCCATGGATCTTAACCACTTTCCATACATCACCCCTCTCATTTCACATGCAACCAAAAAAACGATAGAGGAAGATGGAATGTATATGGGAGGGAAAGAGAGGTTTTGGAATGGTATGAGACATAAAAGAGTATATAATAATCACAACTCATATAGTTTTTGGGGATAAAGGGAGAGCATAGCTAGTTAGTGTGTATGGGCATTGGGCAATGGGGAGTGAGACATGGAATGGGAGACAAGCATGGTTTTCAAAGAGACAAAAAAAACATGCCATGTAATAGTGTGCATGCTTATGCTTTAATTTGTTCTTAACCCTTACTTAGCTAAACTAAACCCCCCATACTTGAAAAGAAGAGATAAAGGATCCCTTTAACCATTCATTGGTTAACATGCAAAGAACAAAGAGGTGGGAAAAGGAATGACAAAACAAAAGAGAGATTTCTTGGGGAAGACGATGGAAGAGGAAAAGGTTAAAAAGAAAGTTAAACGTACAGAAAGCAGCAGTAAAAAAGAAAAAAATGGAACTTTTGTGTTACTACTTACTAGTTTCTTTCCTCTGTTTCCTTTATTACTGTGGGGCTCTGTAAAAAGTTTGTAACTGTTAAATGAAAACTGAAAACACTTAGCCCTCGATTCGCGAGGGAGGGATTGGACTCTGCCCTATTGTATGGTCTCTGCCCTCTCCAGTAATCCAGCTGCTGCTGCTGCTGCTTTGATGTGGGATTCTCTCTTTTTTCACTTTTTACTGTCAGTCACTGACCTGATGAGGTTGTTATCTTTGTACCCTTTTTTCTCCACTGCCTCTTTTATTTTATCTCCTCTGTTTTTTCTTTCTTTGATTTCCACATCAAGTGGTGTTTCTCCATCATTTAGTTATCCCGAAGAGATAATCTAGCTGACGATCGTGCAACCCGGTCTGGTCAAGCAATGAGCGGGATCAAGAGACTGTTTCGACATTGATATGAGAGTTCATACTTTTTTGAATCGGAACCACCCGACCAAATCCAAACCACACATCGCCAAGGACATGAGGACGGATCGACTAGAAGAAGGCATACAAGAATTGGACTATCTAATTAGACAAAAGTGATTTCACTTCGACTTCGATCAGGGTGGAACAAAAGATAATATCGGTTAGTTCATCTTCGTGGATGTTGATGATGACCAGAACACATATTAAGTCCCAACTGTGAATTATTTGTGAATTATTTGTGAAAGACATCATTTTTTAGGATGCCTTCATCTAAATGACTTCATAAGTTTTGATCATTGATTTTCTAGGGCTTTTGAGAGAATTGATCAATGAATAGTTCTTACTTCAGATTGCGACAAAGATGGGCAGTTGTGGCTTTGGCTACTAACTTCACTACACTACAATAAAAGCGCAAAGGCCAAAGGACAGAGTGACTTTCTGATTCTGATGTAACAAAAGAGTTCCATCCAAGTGGACAAAAACAGGCCTGGGAAGCAAATGATTGGTTGACACATGGCGCCCTATGATTTGACATTGCCCAACTGGCAAATCCCAAAATGATAATTCAGTTCAAATCAAAGAATAGATAGTTTGCAATATTAGGCCCCTCTGGTCTCTACTATAGTACTTTTACCATATCAATCCCCGAACTTTTAGTTTCTAAAGAACATGCCCTTTAAGTACTCTCTTTGTAGCAAGATTTCCTTCAAATTCATGTTAAGTGAAGGGATTAATTTCATGATTGGTCACTGAGATTACAAAAAACGTTCATGTTTGGTCACTGAAAATATTTAAATCCAATCTTGGTCACTCAAATTAGTTAAATGGTTCAAGTTTGGTCACTCTCCGTCCAACTCCGTTAAATATGTCTGATGTGGCAGTCAACCCTCAAAGTTGACCTTTAACTCGGTGACGTGGCAATTAAAAAATAATAAATAAAATAAATTTTAATCTTCTACCATTTACAACTCATTTTCACAATAAAATAAAATAAAATAATTAAAAAATTTAGAGGCTCCGTTGAGGA